TGTGAGCACACACAGGCCAACAGGCACACACACGCTGACGTTACCCCACAGTTAGCATGTACAGTCCTGCTCAGCTTGCTCCGAGGCCAACTGCTGCGGGCACTGGAGCTGAACGGGAACTGGGACCTGGAGAATTCTCCAGTGTGGGCTCCCTGCCGCCAGCCAGGGGACAGACAGCTGCCCTGCCACCTCACCCAGGCCGCCTCCTCGCAGGGGCCACGCCAGCCTCAGGAACGGAAAAAGACTCAGCAGGGAGGGGGCAGGGATGGATGTCTCTCTTCTGCATGCTCCAAACTGGAAAATGCTTAAGGCATCACCTCTTTCAGAACAAGATGGATTTTAGGGAATAATTTGTTAATCAGTGGGTAATGGTAGAGTATCAGGCCCTGTAATTGGTGAAAGGGGAGACAAGACCTCTTAATCTTCTACTCCGACCCCTTCCTTAAATGCATGCTCCACCCCACAGCCACATACACCTAGCCAAAGTACTCTTTGACTTAAGCTCTTTCAACACGGTCCTCCAATATTTACAAAATAAAAGCCATGCAGATATACATGGAAATATTTCCAGACGCAATTATATATTTGGGATATGCTTCAAAATAATATGGTGAGGCAATAATCAGTGGCGGTAGAGAGGAAACATAATTGTTGAACTGGGTGATGGGGTTTTTAAAATACTCTTCTGCTTACGTTTGTGTACTTCTATAATTTCCAGTTAATAAAAAATTACATATAAATTACATTTTTTAAAAAGTCACACCCCTTGGCCCGGCACACAGGGCCTTCAGTGACCTGGCCCCACCAGGCTGATAGTTTCCTGCACACACCTGCCGTTTTCTTTGAACCGCTGTGCCTTTGCACATGCTGCTTTCTCTTCTGAATTGCCTTTCCTTAGTTAAGCCTTATTCAGCCTTCAAAACTGATGGTCAGTGGCAGCTACTCCAAGAAGCCCTCGTTGCTTCTGTAGCTGAGCTAATTCGCTCCTCTGGGCCAGCCTGAGTTTGTCTCTATTTTACCACCTACCTCAAGGTATTTAAACCATCTACTTATGGGCCTGCCTCTACCAATTGTGAATCTTTGGGGGCCTGACACATAGTAAGTGCTTACTCAGTGTCATTGAACAAAGTGTTGAGAAAATAGAAGCTGTGTGACTGAAAGGAAGTGGCTTAGCTTTTCTGAAATTCGTCTTCACACTGAAAACAATAGCAACAACAAAAAAGAAGAGATAGAGGATAGTGACAGATGGCCTGCAGGGCAGTTGTGCGGAGTAGAAGAGAAGGTATATGTGAAACAGTCCAACCTGGTGACAGGTGCATAGAGGGGCTCAGTAAATCAGGTCTTCTTTCCCATGTTTAAATCCCGTGCTCAGAAATGGCTCCCAGAAATGACACACCGACCCAGGACACCGGCACAAACTGGCTACTGACTTTAGGCAAATAGTTCAAAATCTGTATTTCATCTGTTAAAGGGGACCAATAATTCTTAAAGGCAGATTTCAGGGAACTCCTGAGGACCCTTCCAGTTGTACAGTTACAGATACCTGCTGACTCGTTCGCAATAGGTATGGAGTAGTGTGTGCACATGCGCACGAGCGTGTGTGTGTGTGTGTGTGTGTGTTAGTGGGTGTTGGGGGAAGGGTCTGATTAATGTCCTCTGTCCAGCTTAAGCTTGTTGTTGAACCCAAATTGGTCTCCAGGGTATGTGGGGACAGTTTACTGGCCTCCAAGACTGACCACCCGTATGGAAAACAGTGAAAAGATCTGGCTAGTGGTCCTTCCTTCCCCGCTCTCTTGCTGTGTGACCACAGTCAAGTTACCAGCCTTCTCTGGTGAGGCCCCAGTGTCTCCATATGCCTGATTCAATTATCTCTGGGGCCCCTTCCACTCCCACTCTTGTCTGCCATTGGGTTGGGCTAATGCTTAGTCCCTATGACAGATCTCACCTATGACTTAGAAATGAAGATTCATTCATTCTCTTAACTGCCCTGCAATGAGCTTTTTGCATATGCCAGGCATGCTAGCCCCATGTGCTAGAGCAGCTAGCAACACTTAGCAGGAGAGAAAACATCAAACAAAAAAAACACATACAAATAACTAAAATTCCAACTGTAATGTGTCTCAGGAAGGGGTACTTCAGGATGCTGTGGGTGATCTCTGTCCCAGGGGAAGCAGAGGGCAGCTCTGTGATGACTTCACTGATGACTGTGAACATAGTAAATAAGGCCCTGAACATCACATGCATTATCTCATTTAATTCTCACATCAATTCTCTGACAAATGGACTATTCTTCTCCCCACTTTGCAAATGACAAGGTTGAGCTTTAGAGAAGCTATGGCCCAGGTCACACATGAATACTTTCCGGGATTTGGAACCACACTTTTCTTTGTACACCTGCCTAGAAAACCCCCGTTATAAATGTAAGCATTAATACCAGTAACCCTAGAAATAATGGTATTGAGATTCTGAGCTAGCTGGGCTCGTGCTGAGGATGCAGGAGCCCAGGAAGCTTCCAGAGGCTCTGCCCATCCAGTTCTGAAGAAATCCAAAAGGCAGGGCCCATCCAGAGAGTTTAGGAAGGTCCCTGAGTATACCAGCCTCGGGGCCCCAGCACACACTGGTTTTCTGTAAGATAGTTCACCTGCCCGGCGTGCTCTCCCACCTGACCCCACCTGGCCAGTGCCGGTGCCATGGCCTGTTGTGGGGCAGCCGAAAGGAGAATTTCCAGGCCGAGGTGAGTTCAGTTCCACTCAGAGGAGAGTGTGCAGGGAGTGGGGCATGGTGGCCCAGCTCACAGCGGACGGTGTAGAGGCAACTCGGGTACAGAGGGAGCCCAGCAGCGCCTCCCATAAAAAGCACAGGCACGGCCGGCATGTAGCCCCGGGAATGTCAGTGGCCTGGGTCTGGTACTCTGAGTCCCTAAGGAAGCCACTAAGAGTCACAGAATCAGTGGGGAATTCCAGGGAGAGCTTCACTCCCTCTAGTTATTGCCCCATTTTACAGATATGGAAACGGAGGCCTAGGGAGCTCGTGGAAGGGGGGCCCCTCTGTTTCACTCCTTCGGGCTAGCCCACACCATGCACTCAGCACCTTCCTGCCAGAGTGTAACCTGTGCTTCACGTAACCTCTGCTCCTGGGGAAACCCAAGCTGGGGCTCACTGACCCGGGGACACTGAGCCCCTTGGGTTCCTCGCCTGCAAAATGCAATCCTTCCTGCTCTGCCTACCCAACAGGCTTGGCAGGGTGAATCGATTAATTACGGATCTGAATAATCCAACACCTTTAATTTACAAGTAGGGAAACAGGCGCAAAGAGGCAGTCCGAGGCCACAGAGCCCGGGAGTCACAGAGACACAAATAATGAAATGCTCTTTTCTCCTTGCCTGCTTTGAAAACTTAAAGTTTTCAAATGACCCTGTATACCCAGCCCAGGCCCCCAACACAGAAAGCATCCAGTGAGTGCCACTGTAATAAGAGCCATTGGAACTGTCCTGCATGGAGGCACTGCTAACCTGCCCAGGCTCAGCTCCCCATTTGTAAATCAGCTGAAGAACAGACACGGTGGAGTCCTGAGCCTGCTTCTCCACCTCCCTCCTCTCTCCTGAGCCCAGGCGTCAGCTCCCAAGTGTGGCTGGGGACAGAGGCAGGCTTTCTGAGCCCCAGGCAAACGTGAGCACAGCCCCGCCGTTCCCCACATCGGGGCAGGTAGCACCCCCCGCCCCCCAGTGGAGGCTGAACTCTGGCCTGGTGGCTCTGCTCAGCGTTCCACTCCAGCTCTCCTGCCTCCAGAGATATGCATCGGATTCCTGCTTCCCCCAAGACAGGGGAATAGGGCTGCTCCCACTGCCCCCACCCAACCCCGGTGTCGCCCCTGGTGCCTTGAAGACTCGCAGCCTTTCACAGCCCTAGAGCACCCCATTTTACAGCTGGGAAAGCCGAGGTTCTAATCCCAGTGCCGCTAAGGAGTTGCAGGAGAGCCAGGGCTGGCCAGGTTATCTGACTCTCCC